CTAAAGCTCTCACAGTTTGCGAGATGGTCTCCAACCATTACAGACCACAAATTGATTGATTCCTGTAAGCATTAGGAAGCTTAAATTACTTAAGTTACTGAAAAGGGCACACATGCAACAATAACTTGCCCTCCTTCACCTTCCTTATGAGTTCTAGTCAATACTATTCACATACTGACTATGGTTTACTCTTCCTAATCGTGGTTCAGAAACTTTAATGCATTTGTTTGTTCCAGTTTGAGTATCCTCATTCATCATTAAAACGCCAAAATATTTTGTAAGCAATACGTTGAAAAATTGGCATTGCTAAAGGGAGCATGTGCACGGGGGAGACAACTTGTGATTCAAAGCCTGAGGCTGAGATTCATTCTCGCCGGAATTCTCTCTGAGAAACACAGAAACTGGAGTATCGTCCAAAGACGGCCCAAGGCTGTGGGCTCTAATCTTTGAGATTTGTGCATCACCTGGACCAGATCTTGTGTTGGATCGGTCCCTCAGAGCTCACAGCACAACAGCAAGAAATAAGAACAGTACAATTTAACAGCTTATTGCACAAGAAAGTCGTTTCAATGACCCTGCCTCATGACCCTGACATTTGTCATCTCTTTGAAATAATGTGACTATTTTAAGCTCTCCAAATCTTCAAACCACATCAAAATAAAGAGGGGAAAAAAGAACCAAACCTCCCAGCCCCAAAGAAAGATGGGTAAGTAACATTTATTATGACTCCTTTTTTGTTTTAACATGTCTCTGCCTCAAAGGGTGAACGATTATCTGATCATAAAGGCTCTGTGAAAATGATCAGTTTCACTTTTTCAGGGCTTGTGAGGTCATTTTCATTTTCTGCGGGATGATGTAATGATCAAGTACTGGTTACACCTGAATAGTGTCACAAAAACCTCAGTTTAAATATCCCTCTCTTTATAATCAAGCTCATAAACAGGGGTTTGAAGGTCTGATGTAAGTAAATAAATCAATACATTTCTTATGTAATAAATATAATTTCTACAGTTTGATTGTTTGAGTTCTTTTTCATTTAAATTAACAATTATATATACGTGTGTGTGAGTGTGTGTGTGTGTGTGTGTGTAGAGAGAGAGAGAGAGAGAGAGAGAGAGAGAGAGGTTCTTTGTTCACAAAATAAATTCTTAATTAAACTTTGTAAAATAATATAAAATTAGTCTTGACAACTGTGCTATTAAATGCAAATGCAAAGTAAAGACCAAGTCAATCTTCTATGTTCTCACTGCCAAGCACAGTCAGATGAACTAATGAAGCATTCATGCATTCGAGTTTGGCTATTGACGGACAATGAGCAGGTCATTAAGGGCATCCACACCTCCCACAGACCTATAGATTACGTCAGGGTCAAAGTGTCATCCTCCACTCTCGGCCCCCTCCCTCCAATGCATTCAATATAATGAGGCTGTGCTGCTTTGAGACTCTCATTCACACTTTGTGGAACGGATGAATGTCCTTTGAGCATATTAGTGGAGAATGTCCCTCTCTCTCACTTTGAATTGCAGACGATCTTATGTGAAGCTCACATGTGTTTTTGGGCACCTAATTGTTGTTGGTTTGTACTCATTTGAAGCGAATGCTCCTCATTAGCATCATTTCACTCTATCTGAGTTGTCACCATTACTATGAATCTTTTTGATGACGGTTTAGGACTTTGTTTGTCTAATGCAAAATTTCATGGCTTTGTTCATTTGCTTTAGGCAAATCTTTACCTCACAGAGCTCATGCTCACAGGTTTTGACACCAAAATATAACTTTAATATCTGATAAATGCATGCAATAAACAAAAACCTAATTTGTGTAATTATATCTCTTATTAAGAGGCCCGTTATATTAACAACAAAACCAACCTCTAAAACACTTAGAATGTTAATGAAATACTGTGCCCTGTTTATGAACTCTCTCTGAGCTGTCATAGGCTCTTCTTTGAGAAGGAATCGTCATGGTTTGCCTTTGTTCCTCATACATTCAGTCTCGTATCTATCAGGCGGGCCATTAGGAGGTGTGAGGAAGTACAATACAAACAGAATGAGATGAGGGAACACCCCACTCCATGAGCCCACCTGCCACTGAGATGAGTGTGTATGTGTGAGATGGGGGATTTCAGCTAATATTGGGGCAATAAAATATAAAAGAGGAGAAAAAAGTGTCTTGGTGGATAACAGGCAGGAGGGATAGATAATGGAGGGAGAAAAAGAAAGATGCAAATGATTCACGTCTCTTCATGTACCAGGTTCACTAGATTTGATCTGGCTTTGAAAGATATTCTCTTATCTAAAGGCTCTTTCATTACCAGTTTAACCTGTTTGACTGATTAATTAAATAACATGAGCATAGCTAATATTATTTGTTTTATATTATTGCAGCCTTTAGGCACACAAAACTCTGAGGTGTAAGAAGCATGTCAGTGCATGTATAGCCATTGGAAATTATGTTGTGCTTGTCGGTTTGTCACTTACAAAGCAATAAATAACACCTACCTAATAAGGAACGTTCTCAGAATCGACTTGTTATAAACAAATATATCCAAGGTTCCCATTGTTTGAGCCAATATTCAAATTTCTACAGTCAGTTTGAAAAATCCGGGTGTGGAAAGAAAATTCCAGTAGTTGGACGGCAAATCATGTTTTAACATTTAGGCCAAATTTATTGTGGTTTTAGTGTTTTAATTAAGTTGAATAATTGCAAACAATGTTGCAGCCATCTTGGAAATAATTCCTACTTTCTGAGGAGATCCTAAGCATTTAGTTTTTCAAGGAGAATTTCATATGAAAGCCATGTTGTTTTCCAGGACATCCAAATCAAACATTACGAAAATAATACTGTATAGTAAAGTAGAGCCGCAGAAGATCACAGATAAGATAAAGGATGTGTCATCATGTGTTTTCTAGCAGGTTAAATTAGTTTAGACACACAGTACAGAGGAGGAGCTTCAGGACAGACCTATAACCTAGTTCGAGTCCGATTCCGATTCCTGGTTCTGGATTCGATGGGAATCGATTCTTGCTGTTGTTTTCGATTCTTTTTCGACTCTTGTGTTTTTTTTTAGATTGAAAGAACCTAATCTCACCATGACGACTACATGGTAGGTCGTAGAATGTATCCCTCTCATAATATGAAGCTTCATTTGTAAAAAATAAAATAAAAATGACGATACATAAATTGTAATTTGTCTGCTTTGCCCATGACACAGCTCAGCAGGGACATGCGTTTATCGCATGAATTAAACAAGACATGAAGTGTCTAAAATAAATGTGCACAGTTCAGCTGAATGATGAAGTTTACTTTGACTGTATGCTTTGCACAATATTAACAAACTGTACACTGAAACAAAATAACCAGAACATTAATAACTGATAGAGCTCGTGGTTTATCTGTCAATCAGATGCGCTCTCGGCCACTGATCTATGCTCGGGACGTTTCTTTTATAATTATCATTGGCTGATAGAAATGTTTTGTGAATGGTGCTTCTCAAACGGAAGGCTGCATCCTAAAATTCAGATGATCTCAGTACCGACTCCTTTTCTTTCAGTTTATTTTCGTGAATTTAAATGTGTGCAGCCTTCCGTTTGAGAGACACCCATAGATAAGCTACTAAAGCTAGCTTTGTTGAACTGAAAAAGGCTCTGAATGAGGAGTCGATTCCCCTTGATGGAATCGATTCCAACCTTTGGAATCGACTCTCGATTCCCAACGCCTCGGAATCGAGGAATCGATTCTTTTTGGAATCGATTCCCAGCCCTACTATAACCGCCCATCAGGGTTTCAGCAGATGTAACACGTGGGGAACAACCTCAAAGTTTGAATTTCCTGACGCATGCTGCGTGTGTTGTTGCGCTTTCCAGAACATTTTCCTGCAAGGACGCTCTAACGCAAGGATATTTTCTCGAGACCGAGAGATCCAGACTGCCGAAAGATGCACCGGACCGCTCTTTTAAGGTGTCTGCTCAGCGTATCACTGATGAATCAAGGTAACTTAACAGAATATATATATATATTTTTTTTTTATTTGAAAATTGTATTTGAATTTTAGAATGTTCGCATACTTCATTTTAGATCATCTCTTCTGACATTTACCATGAGATTGACCAGTGAAAGAACTGAACAGTGTTTCTTTTAAGATATTCTGAGAGTGATCGCACGTTATGATATGAAGTCTTTTTAAAGAGAAAACGCGCGCCACAGTTTCTCTTGGAATTCTTTCCAAAGCCTTTAATTTGATAGACTTATGATTTTCTATCTTTCTCAATAAAATATCCATCATCGGTGGTTTTCTCCATATAAAAGTAACATTTATTTCCATCCGCGATCTTTGTCCCCGCCCCGTCCTTTTATACCTTTTACTTGCACCTGTTTCGCTAGTGAGAAAAAAATTGTATGATGATATGCTGAACAAATTAAACCTTGATGCTTTGGTTGTTAAAAGTAATGAATAATTGATCGGAGCCTACATCTGCCTCTCTCTGTGAAGTGATTGAAATTGCGCTTGTTTTCATATCGTTTTATCGTAAGTGCAACAGTATTCAGGTAATGAAATTATAAAGGACACAAAAGACCGGCGGTAAACCTCTGTTATTTTAAGGCACCAGCCCGTCTGTCAATGCAACTTTAAAGAGACTCATTCACCTTTTGGGCTGGAAGACTTGACTGTATGCTTTGCACAATATTAACAAACTGTACACTGAAACAAAATAACCAGAACATTAATAACTGATAGAGCTCGTGGTTTATCTGTCAATCAGATGCGCTCTCGGCCACTGATCTATGCTCGTCACGTTTTCTTTTATAATTATCATTGGCTGATAGAAATGTTTTGTGAATGGTGCTTCTCAAACGGAAGGCTGCATCCTAAAATTCAGATGATCAGTACCGACTCGTTTTCTTTCAGTTTATTTTCGTGAATTTAAATGTGTGCAGCCTTCCGTTTGAGAGACACCCATAGATAAGCTACTAAAGCTAGCTTTGTTGAACTGAAAAAGGCTCTGAATGAGGAGTCGATTCCCCTTGATGGAATCGATTCCAACCTTTGGAATCGACTCTCGATTCCCAACGCCTCGGAATCGAGGAATCGATTCTTTTTGGAATCGATTCCCAGCCCTACTATAACCGCCCATCAGGGTTTCAGCAGATGTAACACGTGGGGAACAACCTCAAAGTTTGAATTTCCTGACGCATGCTGCGTGTGTTGTTGCGCTTTCCAGAACATTTTCCTGCAAGGACGCTCTAACGCAAGGATATTTTCTCGAGACCGAGAGATCCAGACTGCCGAAAGATGCACCGGACCGCTCTTTTAAGGTGTCTGCTCAGCGTATCACTGATGAATCAAGGTAATTTAACAGAATATATATATATATATTTTTTATTTGAAAATTGTATTTGAATTTTAGAATGTTCGCATACTTCATTTTAGATCATCTCTTCTGACATTTACCATGAGATTGACCAGTGAAAGAACTGAACAGTGTTTCTTTTAAGATATTCTGAGAGTGATCGCACGTTATGATATGAAGTCTTTTTAAAGAGAAAACGCGCGCCACAGTTTCTCTTGGAATTCTTTCCAAAGCCTTTAATTTGATAGACTTATGATTTTCTATCTTTCTCAATAAAATATCCATCATCGGTGGTTTTCTCCATATAAAAGTAACATTTATTTCCATCCGCGATCTTTGTCCCCGCCCCGTCCTTTTATACCTTTTACTTGCACCTGTTTCGCTAGTGAGAAAAAAATTGTATGATGATATGCTGCACAAATTAAACCTTGATGCTTTGGTTGTTAAAAGTAATGAATAATTGATCGGAGCCTACATCTGCCTCTCTCTGTGAAGTGATTGAAATTGCGCTTGTTTTCATATCGTTTTATCGTAAGTGCAACAGTATTCAGGTAATGAAATAAAGGACACAAAAGACCGGCGGTAAACCTCTGTTATTTTAAGGCACCAGCCCGTCTGTCAATGCAACTTTAAAGAGACTCATTCACCTTTTGGGCTGGAAGACCAGAAGCATAATGATAGTGTGTCATGTGCTGAAAGACTGTTGGGTTGGAAGTCAAACTTAAACGTGTTGTCATTTGTGACCGTCTTGTCATTAGTTGTAAGAAACAAAAAGTGTAATTCTTTAAACCAGTGCTGGATAAGTTTGATTTTACTAATAAAAATAAAAATATGTATTTTATATTTTAAAATATTTAAACATTTTATTACTGTTCAATTCAACTAGTTGTCTATCCTGCTAATGAGTCAAATTTTACATAGCCTATATGGTTATCCTGTGATATGTAATTTTTTTAAAAGTCATTTTTAGTAGGTAATGAGGTTTAATTTGTGCATGTGGCTGTTTGTCTTCTAGATTGGCTTGAGAGCCAAACTGAGTTTACAACTAGTAGTTTAGTGCAGCATCTGTTTTTTGTTCTCTCTCCACCCCTCCCCCAAAACACACCATCTGCAATGTCACACCTGGTATGACTAGTTTAGATGGTGGGTTTCTTTCAGTTTGCTGCAAAAAAAAAAATCACCTTTTTCCCCTTGAGAAGTCTGCCCTTCATTGATGAACATTGTTTTAATGACAAATATTGCTGTTTATGCTGGTCTGAGTTCAGATTTTTTTTATAGTGCAAAACTGTCTCCAGACACCATAGCATTTTTATGGCTTTTGTATTGCAGATGTAATTTGCATATTTTCATTATTGTGAAATGTTCCACTTCTTATTCCCTCCTTTATGGGCATATGTTTGAGGAGACTGAACATTTTATTCTAATTTCAAATTCTTTTTACAGCCAGAAATCTTGCTTGTAATCACGATTGGCTAACGGTATTACTCACTGAGTAAATTGAGATTATGTAAAGGGAAATGTTTTCATGTTTTAGATATGAGACAATCTTTTAATCAAAGGTGAATCATCCACTTAGAGTTACCTGTCTGCCCTGTTGAACCATCTAAATCCATTTTATAGTCCCATTATAAAAGAAAGCAAATATAGCTCAACAAAAGACTGTTTGCTTAGATTAGAAGAACCGATTTCAATTCAAATGACTCATCCATTCAAACATTTAATATGCTTCCTTCAGTGAAAGTACTACTGTGGAAATAGAAATAGGCTACTATTGTCGTCCTCTAGCTTGTACTCTATTCTTTACTGCAGAAGCACCTCTTTTTCACAGTGGCCTTCATAGGAACCAGTTTATCTGTCATCAGGTAAGACAAGAGAGCAATTGTCTGGTCTAAAGAGGGGAGACACATTGTTTTACAACAGGATAGGCATGTGTGTGCTTAGCACTGGCACTCTTGACTTGCAGAAATGCGTCCTTTGAGATGCATGAAGTCCCCCATGGCTCTCTGTAACCTCCAGTGCACTTGCTTGGATCCACCCTGCATGCATTTTGGGATAAAATGTCAGGTTGTTTCACTCTTGTTATTCAGCTTCTCCAAGGCCTCCTCTGGACCCCTGCTGACTATATTGTTCAGCAGGTTTTCTTTAAAGTGCCCCTATTATGGATTTTTGAAAATTTCCTTTCATGCAATGTGTAACAGCTTTAAGTGAATGAAAACATCCTGCAAAGTTTTAAATCCCAAAAATGCACCGTGTATAAAGTGATTGTCTTTCAAAAGAAAGCGTCGACTCCGAGTCATGAAAACGAGTAGTTTTTAAAACAAATCTAAAGCTGTTTCAAGTTGACGTTATCATGAAACATTAGCATATTTATGCCCGCCCACTTGTTGCGCGCGCAGACCCGGGAAAACTTGAACCTCCCCACCCTCAAACACCGTAGTGGATTCCTGTGGAGAAGACGCTGTGCTCTGCACTGTGAGGGTAAATCAGTTAGGGTATGTCGGAAAAACTCCCAACACATTTTCTCCTCAAATCAAAAATCATCCGACCTACATCGCTGCAGAAGCACCGACCCAGTGTTAAATAAACTTGACTTGACTTGACTTGACATGGAGCAGCATTAACTACACAGAGCCGTTGTTCACCGACAAGCTGCGCAAAATATGATCGTGGTTTTGCGCAGCTCGTCAGTGAACAACGGCTCTGTGTAGTTAATGCTGCTCCATGTGAAAGCCCGCACGTGATGGAGATTTACCGCTGATTAAAGAACCGGCTTTACTGACAAGATATGCGTTAAATATCGCATGCGATTTATCGTGCAGCCCTAATTGAAACTGCATTTTTAACCTTCAATCCGTTGAGCACCACTGAAGTCCACTATATGGAGAAAAATATTGGAATGTTTTCCTCAAAAACCTTAAATTCTTTGCAACTGAAGAAAGGGAGACATGAACATCATGGATGACATGGGGGTGAGTAAATTATCAGGACATTTTTATTCTGAAAGTGGAGTAATTCTTTTAAAACAGTTGCTGTCATGTACTCCGTACTATAGCATGCAAAAAAAAAAAAAAAAAAAAAAAAAAAAAAGTAAAACAATGATGTAGGACGATTTTGAAGTTGGAGGAGAAAAGTGTTGTGAGTTTTTAGACAAACCCTGTCTTCAACCATTGTACACAGACAAAGTACGCATGCGCCTCGCAGAGCTAGACAAGACGAGCATTTGTGGTTAAAAAGTATATACATATTATTTTTAAGAAAATGACTGATCGTTTTGCTAGATAAGACCGTTATTTCTCGGTTGGGATCGTGTAGAGCCCTTTGAAGCTGCATTGAAACTAGGGCTGCACGATAAATCGCATGCGATTATTTAACGCGCATCTTGTCAGTAAAGCCATTCTGTAATCAGCGGTAAATCTCCATCACGTGCGGGCTTTCACATGGAGCAGCATTAACTACACAGAGCCGTTGTTCACCGACAAGCTGCGCAAAATATGATCGTGGTTTTGCGCAGCTCGTCAGTGAACAACGGCTCTGTGTAGTTAATGCTGCTCCATGTGAAAGCCCGCACGTGATGGAGATTTACCGCTGATTAAAGAACCGGCTTTACTGACAAGATATGCGTTAAATATCGCATGCGATTTATCGTGCAGCCCTAATTGAAACTGCATTTTTAACCTTCAATCCGTTGAGCACCACTGAAGTCCACTATATGGAGAAAAATATTGGAATGTTTTCCTCAAAAACCTTAAATTCTTTGCAACTGAAGAAAGGGAGACATGAACATCATGGATGACATGGGGGTGAGTAAATTATCAGGACATTTTTATTCTGAAAGTGGAGTAATTCTTTTAAAACAGTTGCTGTCATGTACTCCGTACTATAGCATGCAAAATACGTATTTAGTTGTGTGTGTTGTGTTTGCTCCGCGCAGCTTGTAGTCTCCGTCTAACCAGCTAACAGCAATATCTGTTCGCTCGCAGTTGTCTAGAAATGTGTCGATGAATAGTGAATGTTTGTTGTTATTACTTGGAGTTCTGATAAAGAATAGAGCAATACGTTGGTGTACAAATTGCAATGCTTTATCAATACGTTTCTGCATTGGGCTAACGCATATGGCTGGGTGTTTACCAAGCGGCAACCTTCCGGTCTCTCTCGTGAAACCAACACGGAAGTGACTAAAACTGCAATTTATCGACTGGTCGCTAGATGCTGGCTCAGTCCCATAGACTCCCCATGTTAAAATAACCAAATTTACAGCAGAAAAAAAAATGTTTACAGCCTGGTACAAAAAGTGGTTTTCGTCTATATAACTAATTTTGCCCTTCATGACAACTGTGAAGGGGGTGAATTTTTTTTTTTATAACTCATCCATTTAAATTATATTAAGCCTTAGAAAGTTCTGCATAATTAAGGGCGTGGCCACTTGAGTGACGGTGGTGACAGCAGCGGCAATCCACCTGTCGCGCTAGGTGGGCGTGGTTTCAGCAACCAGCTCCCGCCTTTTTGCCCATTTTCAATTATCCGGGAGTGACGTGCAGTGACGCGCTGCCAAGATGGCGACGGCTGGCTCTGCCAACTTTGAGCTTCAAAAACGTTCTTCAGGAACCTACGGGTGGACGTCACGGACACTACGTACATGTTTTTATACAGTCTATGGTCTCATTCAGCTCGTCTGCTGTTTCGTTCAGATATGTTTTATGTAGTATAGTTTCACAAAACTGAAGTCAGACCATTCTGTTTTTGCTTCAAATTTCTAAATTATACAGTCTAATTCTAATTCTAATAAAACTATTCATGCTGAATGTATGCTGCATCTTTGTTTGGATCATGATTAAAATCCAGTGGTTGCCTCTAATTTGAAATGGAAAGAGCACAGACAAAGCCTTAGTTTGTTCATATTAAGAGATTTCTTTTATTTGTGTAACTTACTTGTTTGATTTGGGGTTTGTTTTAAAATTTCAATTTAGTTTTGTTATATTTCAATTTCCCAAAGAAAC